GGGGGCTGTATCATTCTCTGGGGTGGGCTGTCCTGTGCACTGCAAGGTGTTGAGCCGCATCCCTGGCCCCCACCCACTTGAAGCCAGTAGCAACCCCCCCGCCAAGTCGTGACAACCACAGATGTCCCAGGACATCACCAAGTGTCCCTTGGGGCAGAGCCACCCCTGGCCAAGAAGCACCGTTTGGGATGTTGTTTGCTGTTCTTGGCCTTGTTCCACGATGTCTGTGCGATTTGTGCCTTGTGGTTGTGGACCTTGCTGCCGGTGTCAGGTTGGGTTTGAGCCTGAGATGCTGCCCACAGCGTTGAGTGCTTTCCTGAGCCACTTCCCCTGACTTTTTTTTAATTGTGGTAAATAGGTGAGAAAACGTTTGCTGTTTCAGCACTCCTCATGGGTACGATTCAGTGGCATTGAATGTGTTGTTCACACTGATCAGCCATCACCGTGAGCTGTCCCCACAGCCGGGGTCGTGGTGGGGGGGCTGGCCTGGCTCATGACGATCGCTGACAGTGATGGCAGGGCCGGTATTGTTCCCCCTTGCGGGTTAGGGAGACTGAGGCTTAGAGGGGCCAGGGGACTTGCCCAGGGTCACCTGAGGAGTGGACGTGTCAAGACCGGATCCCCTCCTTCTGCCGTGCATGTGGCCCTCGTGGGGGTCGGCCCCAGACGCAGGGGAGCTTGGCTCCCTCGCGACTGAGAGTCGCCGGTCTGGCCCAGTTGTGTCCTTTCCGTAGACGTGATTGGAGATGCTGTTGTGCTGGGTCTGCTCAGGCAGAGCTCTCGTCTGAGCCCGGTGCCCATCACCGCGAGCTCTGGAGGTGCCCGGGGAGCCCGCGGGCCGCAGTTGGGCCAGGTGATCGTGCAGGTGGCGTTCAGAGGCCCTGGGAGGGCCAGGGCCAGGCCTATGCCTTTGGAGCCCGTAGCGGTTTGTGCGGGGTTTCTCGAGTCCTGCGGCCCCACGGTCATGGGGGATGCGAGAAGGGAATGAGCCGCAGGGGCAGGTGGTGGGCGCGGGCTCACAGCCCATGGGGCAGCGCTTTGGGGTGAGGGCGATCCACGTTCCGTCGGTCCTGTGCCGCTCCCAGCGCCGACTTCTGTGTGGGGAAACTGAGGATCCTGCGTCCCCCTACTCAGGCACGTGTGTTTTGAGACACAGGCTCTGGTTTATGTACAGGCACATTTGCAGCACAACTGCCATTGGTCACAGGCATTTTGCTTCCTGCCCCATGAGGAGGAAGCTGTGCCAGGGCCGGGGCCGGGGAGGGCGGTGCTTTAGAAGCCGCTACTGTGGCCCTTCCTGGTGGCCGCCTGTTCTGTGCCAGGTGGGCCATGGCTGGCGCTGGGCCCAAAGGAAGGAAGGCCTAATGTGGCTCCCAACAGCCCCGAGGGGTATCTCAGCCCTGGCTGGCAGGGTTGCCTCAGGGCAAGGCGGGCCTGTCACTCTGGGAAGCTTGCCAGGTGCTGCTTGGGAGACAGGCCCCTGGTGCCAGCGGGGGTCGGTGCAGGCGCACAGGAAGCCCTCTGAGGCCTCACTTCCTGGTGCAGCCACCATGCGGTTGCTCTCGAGCAGGGATGGTGGTCACCCAGGGGCAGTGGTTGTCTGAGGGTGAGGTTGGGTGCCACAGGCAGGACAGGGTACACATTAGTGCAGGACCGCAGGATAAGGGTGCCCACATCATGAGGTGCACCTGTGTGACTGCCACAGAGCTGGGATGTGGGTAGGGAGAATCGCTGTGTCAGGTTTTAGGCCTCGGGGGCCATGCAGGCAGATCACAGAGGTCACTTAGTGAGACCTGGTGGTGGTGGGCAGGGCTTGAACGACAGCCCCACTTGGTGGGGTCTCTGCCTCCTGACTGTGGGCTGAGGGGCCGCCCCCGTCCCACCTGAAAGGGCGTGACAGCCAGGAGTGTGAGTGTGCCCTGCACCAGAGCTGTTGCCCGTGGGAGTGAGGGGCTGCTCTGGGGGCGCCGTCAGCCGGGTGGTGACTTCGCGCCCACCAGGCCACTTCAGGGGTCAAGCAGGGGCTGGGGAGCTGGGTATTTTTAGCTCATCCTTTAATCTGCATCGTGCAGTTTTGTAAATACGTGCTAGCACTTAGCTTTGCGTGGTGCCCAGTCTGGTTTCTGGTCTGAGCAGGCTGTGGCTAGGAGGACTTGGCCATTCAGTGGTCCACTGGCAGTGCCATCCCGAGGGAGCTGACGAAGGCCTCCAGCCCCCGGTGGCCAGCCGCACGTGAGAGTTCTGCCAGCTGTTCCTGCACCGGGCAGTGGACTGATCGAGAGGCGCCTAATTCTCAGGCCCTGCTTGGAGGCCCCCTCCGTGCCTGGGCACTGTGATGGCAGGCCCACTTCGCTTCCACATCCTAACACCTTGTGAAGGTGGCCGTGGGGGCCACTCTGGTTTCACAGGTTGAGACTGTGTGCCAGGTGCTGGGCTCTGGCGAGGTTCCTGCAACTGGGGGTGAAACCCTGCCAGCACAAGCCACTGGGGCCTCCTGGAACCTTCTGGGGAGGATGTGTCTCACCCGATGCTGGTTCTGAGCAGGAGTGAAGGACACACGAGTGTGTGCAGCCCTGTGCCAGGCGCTGGCTTGGGCCCGTCTTCCCCCCCCTCAGAACGAGCAGGTCTGTAAAGACAAGGCATCCCGGGCTGTGTCCCCAGGACCAGAAGTGATGCCACCATTGTGTCAAAGGAAACGTGAATTCTGACACTCGGCAGTGAAGATTCCACAGAGTCCAACTCTGTATTGAGATGTATTGAGAGAATGGTCCAACCATCCCCACGTGCCCCTGCCAGCAGGCTCCCCCAGTGCCATATTTCACCCTGTTTGCATGTCATCTCTGTGTGCTGTACACACGTGCTGCGTGCGTGTGCACACACCTTATTCTTGAGCCGTGTGAGTTGGAGACCGAGGTTGTGAGTGGGGCCTTCAGTGGAGGTCCTGCCCTGGACTGATGCACATCGTGGGTAGAACCCCGGTCTTCTAAGCCGCAGGTGGATTCTAGTTGTCAGTTGCCCTGGTAACGTTCTCTCAGCCTTTCCTCCTTAATACCTAATCTTGCTATTTCACCAAGGCCCAGACCTAGACCGGTCTGACAGGTTCCTTCCTTGTGGGCCTCTAGGAGGGCCGCCTGCTCAGGGTTGGAGGCATGGGGGTGCGTGGGGCAGGGAGAGGTGGCGTTTCTTTCCGTGAACAGGTTGCTTCTCTGCAGCACACTCTTGCCTGCTCCCTTACGAGGCCCGGCGGAGGGTCCCCACCCCTCCTTTGCCAGCGCCCAGGATTGGCAGGGAGAGGAGGCAGGTGTACCGTGGCCGTGGTGGCCTGGTTCTGAGAGTCCAGAGAAGACGAGATTTCAGCTTCACGAAGACTGACTGAGCGTCTGCGGCTGCTGGGCAGCACGTTTCCCCTGAAACCTGTCCTCTGGATCTGGTTTCTCATCCTCCCCAGATCAGACTCGGGCCGGGGGCGTCTGGGAGACGGTGGTGGTGGGAAGGCCTTAGACCCAAGGATGCAGCTCTCCCAGCTGTTTGCACAGGGCTGTTCAGTGGAGGTGCAGCTCACCGGGCCTGATGCTCGCTGGGTCTAGCGGGACAGTGGCGTCCTTGTGAGGCTGCTCGTTGAGTGAGTCATTGGGGGCTGCGGCAGAGGACAAGGGCCTGCTCCCTGCATTCCCTCGATGGCTGAAAGGGGAAGTACTCAACCTTGCGAGGGCTTTGTGTCTTCATGTGGAGGCTGCAGCCCTGGGAGGCTGGGTCAGGGACGCGGGTCCTCTGGCTGTAAAGGCTTGGTCAGGGACGCGGGTCCTCTGGCTGTAAAGGCTTGGTCAGTTGACACCTGGGTCTTGGCTCGGCAGGGTCCTGGTGGGTCAGGCGCGTCTGACCTCGCTGCTTGGGCCCCTTCCTCTGGGGAGGACGGGTAAGTGGGGTCTTGGTAGCGCCGCCGTCTGACCCACTGTCCTCGTCTGTCATCCCCACCACCTGGGGTTTGGGTGGACGTGACCGGGTGGCCGCGTGGGTGCTGCAGGGGCACAGGGTGAGCAATCTGCAGTGGGGCTGGGACCGCCAGGTGAATGGGGCCCAGGGTGGTGGGCAGCACGGGCACCGTGGGGCAGGAGGCCGCCATCAGAGGACCCACGCCTGGCTGTATGCCATTGGTGTGGGTTCTGGGCCGCCCTGAGGGGTGTAAGGTGCCCCTAGGGGAGGTACAGGTTGGGCTAGGTTGTGCGGGTCACCCAGATGAGGGGGGCCGCTCAGGCTGCAGGGCCTGTGGTGGGGTGCTGGTTCTGCACCTGGAGCTTGGTGGGCAGCCCACTGGCTGCAGGCTCTTGTTTGTGAGCTCGGGCCGCTGTCCAGGGTTTATCTTCCACACCTGCAGCGGAGTTCCCAGGGTCCGTGTGACCTGGCCTCTGTCTGCGTGTATGGGCTTGTGCACGTGTGCCTCGTGTGGTGTGAGTGTGCCTTGCGTTCCCTGTGTGTGTGAGGCTCTGCGCTTCTCAATTCTTTTTCCACATTGTGAAGTGTGTGAACATCGCAGGCAGCCCCTCTGGAGCGGCCCTGGCTGCGTGGTGACCGCGGCCCGTCCTCAGTCCAGTGCTGTCTGTGTGTCGTTACAGCGCTCTGTTCCTGCAGTGCCAGTGAATCATTTGTGTCTGCAGACGCCCCTGTGCCCTGTCGTGTGGACTGGGGACCGTGGGAGGGGTTTCTGAGTGAGGAGTGTTCTGCCTCTAAATGCTTGTTTGTGCTGTGTTGCAGGAAGCTCTTCGTGGGCGGCCTGGACTGGAGCACAACGCAAGGTGGGTGCAGCATGTGTGGGCGGGAGCCCAGCGTGCCTGGGTCCTTGAGCTGTGTGAATTAGCTTCTTGCCGCGGTATCTTTTAAATCCCTGTGACACTGTCTTTATTTTGGGGGTATTGAATTGGGAGTTGGGTGGGGCAGAAAGCAGCTGTCATTCGCTTTGGAATTGTCGGGCTTGGTGTTGATGTTTCTCGTGCAGGTTCCTGGCTAGGGGCCACGCAGGGCTGGAGGCAGGAGGGCTCACGCCGCCCTCCCCGCGCCCTCCCTAGCTCTGGTTCTGCCGGGCAGTCTGGGGTTTAGAACCGAGGAGGGGGAGTTTGTGACATTGTCATGGTAGCATGGGGGCCTCCCTGGAATCGCGCCCTCCTGGGTGCTGGGCCCTGGGCCTTCCTCATGGGTATAAAAGTGACTCCTTTATCCTTCCCTTCCTTCTCGCCCTCCCCAAATGAGCAACTGATGAGCCGCTGGAAAAGTTGCTAGTTGCAGACTGTTGCGGCGAGGCTGCTAAACTAGGAGTGTGTGCGTGTGCTTCTGTGCGTGTTTACACGCCCACGGTGAGACTTGTGCTTAATCCCCTGGTTGTATGTGTTTCTGTTTTCTGTCCCCACTGGCTGAGCAGAGACGCTACGCAGCTACTTTTCCCAATATGGAGAAGTTGTAGACTGTGTTATCATGAAAGATAAAACCACCAACCAGTCTCGAGGTTTTGGGTTTGTCAAATTTAAAGACCCAAACTGTGTGGGGACGGTGCTGGCCAGCAGACCACACACCCTGGATGGCCGGAACGTAAGTCCTCCCCGGGCGCTCCCCTCGGTCTGTCCCTGCTTGGCGCCCTTTGGCTGTCTTCACGCGGGCTCCGTCTACGGGGCGCAGGCGATGTTTAGCTGGTGTGGCGGGTGCTGGGGGGCCGTGTGCTCGTGACTGCGCTGCTACCTGCTTCGCTGGCCCTTTCTGTCCAAGAGCACATAGCTTCCTACTCACGATGCCTTGTTTGGAACTTCCCACAGATTGACCCAAAGCCGTGCACGCCCCGGGGGATGCAGCCGGAGAGGACACGGCCCAAGGAAGGCTGGGTAAGGGGCTGGGCCGCGGGAGGGTGAGGCTTTGAGCTGGCTTTCTGCTCATTGGGATTGAGAGCAACAGAAGGCCCTCTGGTGACATTTGAGCAGCGGAGGATTGCTCAGGTTTACCTACAGCTCTGAGTGTCTCACAGCCCAGAAAATTGGCCTCAGTCCACTTCTGACCACACCCCTGCTCACAGCAGAGCCTCTCATTGTTCCTTCTGTGACCTCCACCCAGCCCCGCTCCACCATCTGATCTCTGCTTGGTGGCGTCTTCTCCCTCCCGACGGCTGGAGTGTCTGTCCATTCTGCTCTGCCGGGCCCGGGGGCCTCGTGGGTGCCAGCCTCAGATGAGGGACGGCAGCTTGCATGCGTGTAAAACTGCAGGATGCACTTCAGCGGACGCTCCAAGTCCTCTGTTACCTGCAGTCCTTTGCGGGTTGCCTGGCCCTGCTGTGTCCCTGCCCCAGGTTCTCAGACCAGAGGTACACCCCGTCCCCGACGGCCGCGCTGCCCAGGATACCTGCAAAACCCGCAGATCCCTACACTGGGCTCCACAGCTGCTAGAGCCTGTCACACTGACTCGTGCATCAACTCCCTCTCTGCACGTGTCCACCCCACATACTTAGCATGCATCTCCTGAGAGCGTTCCCCTCCCTGGTCGCCCCCATGCACTCATCACCCCACACCCATCTGGGGGGCGTCTGCTGCCCCTCAGCTGTCTCCCATAGCTGCTCTTTTCACACGAGGGTCCAACCAAGACGCCTGTTCCCTCTGGTGCTGGATGTCTCTTTGGTCTCCTTTTCTTAACTGCCTTGAGCTGTAGTAGGGCGTATGACAACCCAGTAAATCTTGACCACAAAATCAGTGTTATCACAGCTTGATAAACGTTGACACGTGAGGCCCCCCGCAGGTGTCCTCTCTTCCCCAGAGCAGTTAGGACAACGTAGGACATGGTGTCCTGGGGTAGAAAGGAAAGGAGTGGTCAGGAGTGAAAGGCCAGGAGAAAGGGGGCAGCTGGCTGCGCTGGGCTTGGGCTTGGGCGGGGGAGCAATACGTGCTCCCAGACAGGCCACGTCCCCACATTGGACGGACTCGCCAGCAGCCCTGCAGGGTGAAGTCTCGATGCAAGACCTGGGGTTGGGGTCAGGGATGGTCCGAGGGAACTTCCCGGGGTCTCTGGTCACCACCTCTGCGGCACTGATCCTGCGCCACCGTCTTTTTCTCGTGTTCCCAAGTCCCGGCTTCAGCCTGCAGGGCTTTTGTGTCATCTGGCTGTGGCACAGTAACAGGCCAGGACAGGTGGCGTGCCGGGTGTGGAAGGATTGACACCCAGCACGGCAGAGCCGTGAGCGCCCGTCCCCTCGGCTCTCTGGAGAGACGACAGTCTGCTTGCTCTTTGCACTTAGGAGTCTCGATGTGGGGAGGGCGTGTTTGGTCTGACGCCTTTAGCTGACCGTTGAGCTTGGACCCAGCAGGAAGGGCACGTCCTGACCACTCACTGTCCTGACCACTCGCGGGAAGTGTTCTGAGGCCCCTGGTGAACTAACTGCCTTTTCCTTTTGAAACAGCAGAAAGGACCCAGGAGCGATAACAGTAAATCAAATAAAATATTTGTTGGCGGAATTCCTCACAACTGTGGTGAGACAGAGCTCAGGGAGTACTTCAAGAAATTTGGAGTGGTGAGTGCCTTGATGTGCTGGCAGGTCCCAAGAGCTTCTCCCCGTCCCGCATACACCCAGTTGCTCGCTAATTCCCGGCCTTCTCAGGGTGGAGCAGCGGAGCCGTCCACCGGGCGGGGCTTTACGCCTCGGGTACCTCTCTCTATTCTCCTGCGCTCCACCCCCCTCCAAAGACAAGACCAGACACCCAGCCTCCCTCCACACCCACCTCACTCCCCCGTGGGGGACTCCTACGGCCCCCAGATGAGCCTGCTGGGCCCCGTGGTGGGTCCTTTGCTCAGTTGTAACGCCGTGGGTGCCAAGCGTTAGGTCTTCGTGTCTGAGGAGAAGTGGGATTTGGCTCGACCATGGGAGCTGGCCTGGCCTCTGAGATTGTGTCCCTCAGTCTCCCAGGTCCATCTTAGTCCCTGTGCTGATGGGACCCTGGGGATGCTCTCGGCCCTCCCCAGGCGTGGGGGCTGCTGCCATCCTGTGGAGGAGAGGCCTGGCCCGGGTTGAGGGTGGAAGAGAGGACGGGCCTGACTTTGCTCAGCCCTCGCCTTGAGCAGCGAGGACCACGTCTGCTGTGAGCGTGGGGTCTCAGGGCCGCCCTGTGCTGCCCGTCCCTCGTGCGAGGTATTTGCCGCGCACGCATCCCGCCTCACAACTTTTCGGTAGTGCAGGCCATTCTTCTTGGTTTGTTTTCTGGAGTCACGGAGAGTAAGGGTATGCGAAGCAGGTAGAATGAGCACGGAGCTGATGTCTGGCGGGCAGCCGCTGGCACGCGTGGGGCACGCTGAGGCGCGGTGGCAGGGAAAGGCCAAGGCGCGGTGGCAGGGTTCCCAGTCAGGGTGGGGTGGCTGCGTTCACGATGCCCTGAGAGCAGAGGCATCGAGGCCATGGGCTCCCCGTGGGAGCTCCTGGTGCCGTCCTGTCGGGCTGACCCGCGGCATGTGGGTTGGGTGCTGTGTGCCAGGAGCCACGGTGAGGGAAGCCCCTGGGGGGCAGGGTTGGCAGGACACCTGGCGTGCTGCTGCCTTCAGGGTGGGACACTCCCGCAGTACTGGGGTCTCCCCCCAGGACAGGTAGCTGGGACCCTCAGGTCAGCAGCCACCTGGATCTGACAGTGGGCTGGGCCCTGGTGTCCCTCTCCTGCCAGAGCTGTCCTCCGACGCCATGACTGTTGGGGCTCCCGCCTCCTCGGGCGTCCCCACCCCACAGGCAGGATGCCCCGTGCTCAGTCCAGGCCCCTCGACGTTGGTCGGCGTGGTCGTTTGGCAGCAGCCGAGGTGTATTCCAGAGGCGCGGAGGGTGTGCCCCGCGGGCTGTGGCGGCCGGGTCTCGAGCACGTCCTCTCTGTTGTTACAGGTGACGGAAGTTGTGATGATCTACGACGCTGAGAAGCAGAGGCCTCGAGGTAAAGGCAGACCTCGTTTGTCCTGGAGCTTCCTCCTCCCGTCCTCAGATGGCAAACTATCTCAGCCCAGACTCTGGCGGCCGGGAGCCAGCCCCTCGGTCAGGGCGCTAAGCCACGCAGACGCAGGCCCCGCGTGTGCCTCTGCCCGTCCGGCCGCTGCCTGGGGCCGGCCTGGCGTGGCCCCTTTTTAGCTCCTTTTGGCCTTTTTACAAGTCAGCGTGACTTTCACTGTGGTTTCTGTTTGGAACGTGTATTGAAGATTTGTGGTTCTTTCCCACTGTCACCTTCTTTGCCTCGGATGGTCCCTCGTTTGCAGTTAGTGCCAGTGTAGCCAGATGTCTGCCTCCTGCTGTTAGGGGCGTCCGTGCCCCTGCTTGCAGCCCACCCCGTGCTGTTTGCTGTTTTTTTCCTTTTCTTTTCGGTCCCCTGGAATCAGCGGGCCAGGCAGGAGGAAAGTGGAGAGTCACGTCCTGGCGTCCTGATGGGTGATGTCCCGACGCCAGACCCTTTTTTGGTGGCTGCTGCTGTCTGTCCCACCCTTCTGTGTCAGATGCATCAGCCACTCTGGGGCCGGCTGTGTGCACAGAGCCGCCCGTCGGGGGTCTGTCTGTGCTAGCCCCTGTGTTTCCCGTGCCCACTGCCTCGCCCTGCCAAGCCGGGCGCCACGGCCGCAGCATGCTGTGCCATGCTGGAGAATAGTTTGCCATTTGAACTTCCTTCCCTCCCCTTTCTCATGATTAAGTAACGTATTCCTCACTCCATGTGGATTAAGCCGATAAGTCTTAGTCTTAATTTTAATTTAGAAGTATGTAAGTGTTTTATAGTAAAGTACAGTACTGTTAAGTAAGGTGTTCTCTTGTCTCTTTGCATTGTTTGTGATTAACGATCTCTCTAGATTTCTCTTCTCCAGGTGCTAGATGTTATCACACAGGTACAGGCCAGTTCCGCAGTCAGGAGGGCGCGGGCTCTGCTCCAGTGGGGTGTAAACGAAGTTTCAGTGTGTTTTCTCTTCCGCTCCTCGGTGGTGACGTCCCCTTCTTGACAGACGCACTCCCTAGCCATTCCGCACCAGGGGCCTCCTTAACCCGGGAAAAGCTCTGCGCTTGTGGCACTGTTGTCGTGTTAGAGGACCGGAACCACGTGAGCCCGTGGTCTCAGACACTCCTGCAGCCGGAGCGAATGTTACAGTTCGGAATGTGTTGTTTCATCACCTGTGTTGTGTTCCAAATGTCGCCTCTGATCTTGTGAAACTCCGTGCGCGGGGACTCCGAGCGCTGGCCTTCCTGGCCCCTCCTTGCCTGCTGCGATCCTTGTTCTCGCGGCCGCGCCGCTGGCTGGGGCAGGAGGAGCCGGCCGGGAGGGAGCCCAGCGGTCTGGCCCGGCCCTGGCTCTCACGTGGCTGTACCGTCCTCACCTTCAGGCCTCTGGGGGGGGGTCTCCCTTGGAGCACACACGAGCCGGGGGCGGTGGGGGGCGTCCCTTTCTTGCCCCTCTCTGCCTCTTGGTAAGACCAGTCTCTCCCCTCTCCTTCGCTCCCTCTCTCCCATCCCTGTCTCAGGGTTTCAGACTGGGGACGCAGTTCTCACAGGGTTCTGTCTGTGTGTCTTGTGAGTGTCTCAGTGTCTCTGTGTGTCCTTTCCGTGGGCGGGCACCTGGTAGCCCAACTTCTCTTGCCTCAGCCTGCTCCCCGTCTCCTGCTGCCTGGCCGCCTCGCGGCTCCGTCCCCGCGTGTTCATGGGTCCGCCACGTGGCTGGGGGCGCCGCCTTCCGCACGCTCCAGCCTCGGTTCTGTTCTGTGTCGTCTGCAGATCTCCATGTGCGTGTCTGTGTGGTCCTGTGTGCATGTTGGGGACACACCCAGGCCCCAAGTCCCGGTGGTGCTTCACCGGCCATCCTTGTCACCTCCGATCTCGGTGCTGCCTCTCCTGCCCGCTCCCGTCGTCCCGCCCACAGCTCTGCACACAGTTGTCCCATGCGGTCCCACTTCATCTGCTTGAGGGACGCCCACGAGGGGCTGTTCCTTCCCGGTGCCCCCTGGCCCCCTTGACCCCTAAACTGCGTGCTCCCCCCACCAGCTGCATTGGTGAGCTTGCTCTTCCCGCCTCCCTCCCTCCCGGCCCCATGATGCTGCTGTGAGCTCAGCTGTGAGCTCGGTGCTTCACGATGCGGCCCCCACCACGGCCACTCCACAGACCCTGCTCCGCGCATAGCCTTCCGCGTCATCCTTTGTTCTTCTGCGGGCTTCGGCCACTGTCTGCTGTCTGGGGTGGTCTTCCCCATGCCCTGGGAGGAGAGGGGTTCACGGGGCACCCAGGAGTCCAGTGCCCTCTGCTAAGTAGTAGCCCGTGAGGACGAACCGCCCCTTAGCTGGGGTCGCACTCAGCCCAGACCAACCAAACTTCGTTTATACTGCCACGTTCTCGTGTTTGGGAGACACTAAATTGTTTTTCCTTTAAAATTTTTCTTTTTTGATTACGTGATGCCTCTTGCTCTTGCTGCTGACAGCAGAATTTGACCTGCTGGATCCGTTTTGGCCTGTATCTTTGTGTATTTTATTTACTTATTTATTTATCTATCTATCTATATATATATATATATATATACTTTTATATACATACACACATATATACGTACGTATATTACCTCTGGTAGGACTCCGTGGGCTTACCCAACGGTGTTGGCTAAGCTTAGTGAGGCGCTAACTGGGACAGATAACTGTATTGTTGAACACTTTAGAACCATATCTGGCTGCTGTCAGCACTAGCTGCAAAGCAAATTGCAAGCCGAGGGGGAGAACCCGGGTTTCAGAAAAGCAGAGACATGTACAGTGCCCATGCCTGGCCGGGCAGGGCTCCCGCCGCACACCCACCTGTGTGCAGGCGTTCTCACAAGTACGCTCGCCAGGCTCTAGCCACGACCTCTTCCATTGGCGTGCCCCCGTTTGCCCACGTCGACAGCCGAGGACTCACAGGAGCCAGGCCCTCACTGCTCTACTGTCTCGGCTCCTTTGTCCAAAACACGTGCCCCTTGTCCCCGATTGGCCTCGACACAGAGCCTGTGTTCGCCCGCGGACCACCAGTGTCCAGGGCAGAAACTTGTGTGGCCTCAGTCACCAGGGCCGCTGATGGACACTGAGCAGGCGTCTCCGTCTGTCCACCTCCCCCAGCCCTGGGCCGCGGCCTAGCTTGCTGCTGCTCGGCTGGGATGGGAGTGGTAGCTCTGGCGGCCGCTGTCCAGGCCCCAGCACAGGGCCAGCGGTGCCCACACGTCGGTGGCTTAGCTGAAACCCAGGCCGATCCCTCGGTCCGTCCCTAATACTGTTCATCGTCCTGTTTTGTATCACAACACCCTGCTACCTTGATTCACTCTTCGTCGTTGGCTAGGTTTTGGATTTATTACTTTCGAGGACGAACAATCAGTGGACCAGGCTGTCAACATGCATTTTCACGACATCATGGGCAAAAAAGTGTGTAGTTGTAGTTTTATTTTACCTTAAGACCAAACCAAGTCTTAGGCAACCAGGGGTTTCCCTGGTAAACACGCCCCTTCTCAGAAAGCCGGCCCGGCAGCCTGTTACGACCCTGGCTACAGAGCCTTGGCCCCGGGGAGTGGTGGCTAGTGGGACCCAAGGTGGGGGGCCGCCCTGCCTGCAGGGTGGGCCGGGAGCGGCTGCACTGTGGGTGGTGGGGGCTGCCCCGGGGACGGGAGGACGGGGCGCCCAGGAAGAGGGCACGCGGGGCCCAGGCGGCCGGCCCAGGGGAACCGCGGCGTTGCCTCAGGCTTGGTCGCAGTCACCACTCCTTCAGATGTCTGTCTCACGTGATTGTCTAGTCCTGAGCCGATGGCGGGACGAGCGGAGGGCCTGGGAGAACCGAGGTCCCGCGTCAAAACGAGCCAAACATAAACATCCTGAAGGATTGGTGTTTTCAATCGGGTCACTTACTGTGGGACTCCGGTACAAGCACATGCTCTTGGTAGATTTAACCCCCATGCAGTCAAGTGACCCCGGGTTGTTTTATCTTCATACTGTGTGGCTGCCACGGAGGTGAGCGGGGTGAGGGAGCCAGACCACCCCCCTTTCCACAGCTTTGCTCCCCGCTGAGCCAGGGTCAGGCACGTGTCAGAAAGGGGTCCCGAAGTGGTCATTCTTCCTGGACCATAAAGTTTTGAGACCTTAGCTCCCCAGTGAGTAATCGGTAGAAATTCCGTGGGGTGAGATATTTTACAGTTGCTCTGGGCTCCCTGTTTTTTCAGAGTTCCTGCTGGGTCTTTTAAAGCTGGCTCAGCACACACGGGGTAGCAGGCGGCAGTGGCAAAGCCGAGCTGGCCTCCCCCTCCTCGGCCCCATCAGCGTTCTCCTGCCCCAGCCTGACGCTGTTGGCCCTTCTGACAAGATTGTGGCTGTTCTTACGTATTAAGCAGGGCATTGCACCCATAGTTCCGGCCCCTTCAGCTTTACTGCTGCTCTGCAGGTTTAGTGACTGCGTGGCTTGTGCTTCGTCATGTTTGTACCTGGCGTTTGCGGCCGCCTCCGTGAGCCCACCTGAACCGTGGCAGGACCGGCAGCGCCTGTGCCGCCTCGGCGGCTCGTCCGTCGGTGGTGCGTTAGCCTGCAGGTTGCCAGTGTGCGGCGGCTCAGCCTGCGGTCAGAGGAGGCTGTGCTCGCGTGTCCAGGTGCTGTGACGTGGCCTAGAACGTTTACAGCCAGGACCAGCGTGGGGCAGAAAGCGTTCCACTGAGCGCACGGGTCTGCTTCTGCACCCGGGAGCCTCCCCAGGGCACCCCTGGATTTGTGGGGAGCAGTAATGTCCAACTTCTGTACTGAGCACAGAGCTGAGATTGGGGCTCCCTCTCGAGGTGGAGCCAGCTCCGGGCTCAGCCCGTGTCTGACCCAGCTGCCAATCCCCAGACCACCAGTGGTCTGCAGACAAGGCGGCACCCCCAGTTAAATGGGGGTTTCTGCCACCAGCGTGCTCCAGGCCCCGTCGACGATTAAGGGGGCAGAGAGGGCTTCCCGTGAGTCCCGAGGGCAGCTATGCTTAGTGAGCAGGAGCCCGGCTCCCCGAGGAGACTGCGTGAAGACTCGTTAACTTGAGCTCTTTGAAACGGGTCCCTTGGGGGGTCCTGCTGCCCGCCTTCAGCTGAGGGGGGTTTGTGCCATCATATGCACGTCCTCGGGACCTCGAGGACAGTGGAGGCGGGGGCCGCAGAGGCAGCTTCCGTCTGTTCTCCGCCAGGGAGGGTCTTCAGGGAATGCTGACACCGAGCCCCAGAAATGCTCCTGTGGTGGTCATGGCACCTTTGTCCTTGTTTCTGTTAACTCATCTCAGAATCCGAACAGCCCCGCGTGCACGAGTGCTGAGGCCATCAAGCAGGGGCTAGTGTGTGCTGCTGCCAATCCGTCCCCATTGTCAAGGGACATGCTCTGTGGCCGAGGCCCTCAGCATAAGTAGGCCAGGCAGGTCCAGGCCTGGGGTCCGCCCCACCCCACCCCGCCCCTCAGTGCTGGGTACCCTCCACCTGCCGCCAAACACAGTATGAAGATTGCTTACTGATTCCAATGTCCATTTTATTGCATGTTTGTTTACTTTTTTGTTAGATGTAACGTAAGATTCTCTACCACATCCATTCCCTCTGACATTGTTTTGAGTTAATTAAGATTCTTTAAGCGTTAGCTTGGGGAAGGTAAGTGTTTATCTTCCATTAGACATTTTAAATAAAAACCTTAAGTAAACAAACTAACTGTGTTTCTCAGGTATGAGCTCAAATTGCAGGCGGTGGGGTGGGCTCGGAGTAGGGGGGCCCTTGGTGTCCCCGCGGTGCCACGGCCCGGGGTCTGGCTCCTGTGGCCAGGGTCCAGGGGAGGCTGAGGTGGTGGGGAGATTCGGTCCCTTTGCCTTGCGTTTTCTCGAGGCTGTCGGAGGGCGCTCTGCCGCCCTGTCCCTGAGGGCCCGGCCCGGCCCTGGCCTTCGTGCGGGCCCGGTGCGGCTGCCAGTTGCACCTGTTGTACCTGAGAAACATTTTTTTAAACAACAACAAAAAAATAAAACATTTTTTAAAGAGAACAGAAGAAGCTACTGGCTTAAATAAGGTTTATAGTTAAGTCTTTAGTTAAGTCATAAGTTGCTAAGTGTAGTCGTAAGTTACATGCGGGTGTGTCTGACGGGAAGGGGTTTGGGACCGGTGGCTGCCCCCTAAATCCCAGCTCGGTTTGTCTAGGTGGAAGTGAAGCGGGCAGAGCCTCGCGACAGCAAGAGCCAGGCACCCGGCCAGCCGGGGGCCAGCCAGTGGGGCAGCAGGATCGTGCCCAACGCCGCCAACGGCTGGGCCGGCCAGCCCCCGCCCACGTGGCAGCAAGGATACGGCCCGCAAGGTAAGGCCCCATGTGGTGCCAGCAGCCCCGTGATGGAGGGAGGGAGCCTGCTGCCACCTGAGAGACAGAGGGAACAGGCAGGGACCCTGGGCGCGGTGGGGTGCGTGGCCTGAGCACCCTGCAGGCCGTGAGACACTCCCCGTGGGCCGTGAGATGCAGTGGCTCGGCCTTCTGTGCCTCTTCCCTGGTCCTCACTGCTGAGTGCGTCTTCTCCTTGAGGTCATATGGGTGGTGCAGGAGCACATGGGGCAAAAGCGGGGCGCCCCCTCTTCTCAGACCCCCGGGGGCTGGCCTGGGCCCATTTCTGCCCTCAGGCCCCCCAGCGTCCCCTTGAACGGCCCCTCCTGCCCAGCCCCGGCAGTGGGGTCGGTGAGGCTGCTTTAGTGGTGTCTCCTTGGAGGCTGTGCCTGGCAGCGTGGTTGCACCTCGCTCCCGCTCCCTGCCGCAGGTTTGGGTAGACGCTCGTCCTCGAGCAGGCTCAGGGTCAGGCTGAGGGGCCACGGTGAATCCTTGGTTGCTGCCAGACCGTCTTTGCAAAATGTCGTTCCTGTGCGGGAAAGGGCTAGGTGGTACAGGCAGGCGAGCTTGGGGGGCAGGTGGCCTGTGCTGATTGGGGAGCCAGGACAGGCATTGGGCAGGTGCAGTTGGGCATGTTGAAGCCGACACGGCTGCGGTTGCTCAGACACCCATGATTGGAGGGCGTATCCACCCCTCTCCTCTCTGCGCACCCAGCACATGCAGAGGGGAAGGTGCCTGGTCCGAGCTCAGCACCCGCTCCAAGCGTCCCGCCCCTCTGGCGTCAGCCGGGTTGTGTGTGTCCTTCTGGGCCCACTTAGGACTGGTCACAGGCTGCTTGGTGGAGGGCTGGAGGGCCTGGGAGGATCCCTGTGAGCCTCACTCCTAAGGACGCAAAGGAAGGGCTGCGTCTGGGCCGGTGGAGGGACAGTCAAGTCACACTGGAGTGGCAGGTGCCCCCCAGGGGCCTGCGTGGGCGCCTCCCCCTTCTGCTTGGCCATCAGAGGCCTTGGGGCCCCCAGAGCTTCCGGAGCTCAGTGGATCCAGCAAATCCCAGCCGTCTCCAGACCCACATTGCAGCCCTGAGTTTTTTCTGGAACTCACAAACTGAGGCTAGAAATGGGTAGGTGCGAGCTGGCTCTGCGGGACACCAGGCTGGCTTCTCGGAACAGGAGGGGGAGTGCCTGTCCCGTCTCCTAAGACTGCCGGTCCCGTGCCCCACAAGGGATTTGGTGACTCGGCTCTCGGCTGGGTGCCCGCTCACCTCCATCCTGTGTGCCGTCTCGCTCAGGCCCTGGATGGATGCCTGGTGGCTCTCGGGAGTTGTCTCTTCTAAAAACCAATTTGTGCTACAAAGTAAAATACAGCTACTGCAGCCGTTGCCTGAGACAAACACCCCCGTCTCCACCAGTGGGTCAGGAGCTAGAGCTTCGTGGCTGCCCCCCAGCCCCCAGCCTGACTGGCCGTCCCCACCTGGCATCTTCCAGCACCCCACCCTTCCTCTCCCCTCCAAGGGGCTCAGTTTCCCCTCCAGCCCTTCCGAGACGCTTCTGTTGACATGTCTGGGCTGGGGGACCGGGGTTGTTAGGGACCTCTGCCTGGGAAGCAGGCTGCCATCTGCTCTGACCGCCCGCACACCTGGAGTGCCCTCTCTGGGGCTGTGGACTGGCGGTGTCTCACACAGCTTCTTAGAGCCTGGGTGTCTGTCCTGTCTGTTTAGTAACCACTCAGAGGAAAGTCTCGGCACAGTGCCGTCGCCCCAGAGCTCGGCAGAGGAGAGGGTGGGCACAGAGGCGACTTGGAGGCAGAAGTGCCCGCTGCTCTGGCTTGGGCTTTGCGGGTACTCCCTGGGCAGGCGGGTGGGCGGGCTGCTTGGGGCCTTGGGAGGTGCATTTGGCACCCGGTGGGCTCAGCACATTGTTCTTGCTGGGAGTGATGTCACACAGCACCCACCCTCTTCTTCTGTTTCCTGTTTAGGAATGTGGGTGCCAGCGGGACAGGCGATCGGTAAGTCCACGCCTTGAGGAAAAGGCCAAGGGTGGAACCCGCGTTGGGTGGTTCTGGCTTCCACTCGGGTGGCCCAGGTTCCTCGTGGCCCAGGGTGGCTTCAGCACGTGTCCCTGGAGGACAAGGGACCCTGGGTGGCGGGGCCTGCACAGGTCAGGTGACCTCGGATGCTCCCTCACCTGCCTTCTCCCTTGCAGGTGGCTACGGACCGCCCCCCGCGGGGAGGGGAGCCCCACCACCACCCCCGCCATTCACCTCCTACATCGTGTCCACGCCGCCTGGGGGGTTCCCCCCACCGCAGGGCTTCCCACAGGGCTATGGCGCTCCTCCTCAGTTCAGTAAGTCTGAGGGCCCCACCTGCTCCCGACAGGGGAGGCACCAGGCCGCAGCGGCCAGCCTGGGCTTCGAGCCCTTGGGCCTGAGGTGGTTCGTCCTCTGTGGGGCCGGGCGCACGCACGCGAAGGCCTTTGCTCCGCGTCCAGGAGCAAGTTCACTGCAACCCTGGCCTCGTCTCCTGGTGCTGCCAGGGCAGAGGCCGGTCGGGAGAACAGCAAAAGTGTCGTATGTCTGCTGTCAGCATAGGAGTGTCCGTGCTGAGGGGACACGCGTTCCCACACTCGAGTGGGGCCCGCACGTCCTCAGTCTTCCACTCAGAACTGAGGGGACACTCAGTTCTCACCTGACTGTCCTCTGCCTCATGTTGTGCCTGGAGGTCTGGCTGTGAGGTGGGGTAGAGAGCTGGCCCCCGTGCCCACAGGCCTTGCACCGTGGTGGTCCAGCTTCTAGTAGCCATGCTGAGAGAGTCAGAGAAGTTGGTGGAGCCCTTTAAGTACGTTCATTTACTCCAGTGTATCCAAGGCCGGCGCTGCACCGTAAGTGGGATCAGTAGCTCGCGTGCCCTTTTGTGCTGAGTCTGAGGCCGGGGCTACGTTTTCCACTCACAGCCCATCCCAGCCTAGGTTCAGTGTGTAGTCCAGACCGAGGCTCAGAACCTCAGACTGGGCAGGCCACAAGGCCCTGCTCTAGGGCTAAGGGCTGGGCAGCGACAATCTGGTGGTCATTTGTAAAGCCAGGTGACCGCTGGGGCCGGGGGAACGTCCCGCATGTGGTGACGGTGCTGGAGGCTCTGGGGCCTCGCTCGGCTGTCCTCCACGGTGCTCCCGGATCCCCTGTTTTCCTGGAGCATGCAGCTGCTGCTTCACTGGGGTGGACATTTGGCCTTTTCTGTGGAGCCTGCATTCCCACGCCATACCTGCCTGATACCCCGCTGGCATGACATCCTGGGTTCCAGCTCTGCTCAGCCATCCTAAGGACACTTTGCATGTGAATCTGTCTTTTCCCAGTGGAGGTGTGCCCCCCAGGGCCAAGGCCAGGGCTGCGGCCACACGGTCCGAGGCTGTGGGTGTCTCCGCCCGCTGGGTGGTGGGTTTCCCGGGAGGCTCCCGATGCCAGGCTGGGTGCCATCTGCTCTTGGCCGTGGCCACACACCGGCCTTTGCCTTTCTCTCCTGTCTGTTCCAGGCTTTGGCTACGGGCCCCCGCCTCCGCCGCCTGACCAGTTTGCACCTCCAGGGGTTCCTCCTCCACCGGCCACTCCAGGGGCAGCGCCATTGGCCTTCCCTCCACCTCCGTCTCAGGCCGCCCCAGACATGAGCAAACCCCCAACGGCACAGCCCGACTTCCCCTATAGTCAGTATGGTAAGTCTGCCAGGCAACACTTCCCGCCATGTCCATCTGTGTGGCGTCCTTTGAGCTGGCCCTGCCGCTGACGCTCGGGGACGTGGCCTTGCAGCTTCCCCTGTCGCCCTGCCGCGGTGAGTTACCACAGTGCTGGCCTGAGCTCAGAGGCTGCGCAGGAGGGTGCAGTGACCAGAAAGTGAGTGTTTGCTTTCTCTCGGGTCTGGTCAGGGCCATAGCACAAGGTGCTGGTCGCAGAAAAGCATCAGATTCCAGAAACTCGGGGCTCACCCCGTCTGGGAGCTTGAGGCTGTGACTCGAGCAGGGAGGACTTGGGGTCCATGGGGAAGCAGCGTGGGGCTGAGATCATGCGATTCTGGGCTTGGTGACGGTGGTGAGCCGGATTGCCTTGGTGCCCCGGAGCCTGTGCAGGGGCAGGCTTAGGGCACCACGTCCCTGTGGGGTGCTGCGGCGGCTTTACTGCCTTGAGGAGCTCTGGACAAACCGCCTAGGGGCGCCACCTGTCTCCCTGGGCATGGTGTGGGGCGGAGGGCTGCAGGGAGAGCTTCTGCTCGGGCTTCTGGACGTTTGGGGCTGGAGCCACAGCCGTTGCTCACTGGACGTCAGATTGTGCTGATGCAAGGTGATGTGTGGTGTGCAGGGGCCTCCACGCTTGGCCTGGAAGGGGCGGCCTGTGGAGTTGGCAGACTGTTGAGCCCTGTTTATGCTTGGGACGCAGGGCAGGACTTGGGCTCTGGACATCACTTTGCTCACCCCAAGTGGTCCCACTCGTGTGAGTTTGGGCACACACGCATCTATGCGCACCCATGCACACACAGGCACACGCTCACACGTGTATCACACGGACATGCTCACGTGTATCACACAGGCACACGCTCACACGTGTATCACACAGGCACACGCTCACGTGTATCACACAGGCACACGCTCACACGTGTATCACAGGCACGCTCACACGTGTATCACACAGGCACAGCTCACACGTGTATCACACAGGCACACGCTCACGTGTATCACACAGGCACACGCTCACACGTGTATCACAGGCACGCTCACACGTGTATCACACAGGCACAGCTCACACGTGTATCACACAGGCACATGCTCACACGTGCATGCACACAGGCACTCACGCACGCACACTGGTTTGCCCATTCTCTCTGCCGGGCAGGAGGAGCCGAGCCGCAGCTGCTGTCTCAGCCTGGGCCACGTGTGGCTCAACCCCCTCCCGCCACCCCTAGTCCTTGCCGTGAGTCCTGGCCAGACACGGCCCTGGGCTGCGGTCCTGTGTCCCATGTGGAGTTGGACACCCGGCCCCGCAGAGTAGCAGCTGTGTGTTGAGCGGGGACGTGCGTGCCCTGGGGGGGAGGGGGTGTGAGCCCACTCCTGCGCGGGTGGCCTCGGGCTTCGTTGTCCTGGTCTCACTTCTTACCAGGCCCAGGTTCCTATTCTCCAGACCTGGCAGGCCTTGGGCCTTGCTTTGTTCACTCTCTTGTGGTCAGGCCGAGCAGTGACGTGGCCTAGGTAGGTGGCACTCCTCCCAGGACCCCTCCCGTCTGCTGGGACGAGGGCTGCCCTCACCCACCACCTGCTCAGGGACCCAGGGGCCACTCCGCGACACCAGCCAAGCCTTGGACGCCAGCTCTGGGCGCTAGAGCCCGTTCCTGTCTGTGAGGCAGTGATGCTGACAGGGCTGTGGCCAGCGGGCATGCCCCCTCCCTCACGCTCCACCCACTCGATGGCCACGCCCTCTCGCAGCCCACAGATGGGTTTTTGGAAGCCACCAAGTTATGTAGTGCCCAGGCCTCTCCCTGGGGGGAGCAGGATGCCACAGGGGTTGGGGCCAGGGATGACGGTGGGGTACCTAGGAACTGCCACCCTCGAGTGGGCATGGGCTGGGCTTCAGCTGCCAGTGCCTGCTGCTCAGGAATTTTCTAGAAGCACTTGTCCGCAGTGTGGTGTGTGTTTCCAAACTTGAAGGCCTTCCAGCCTCAGCTGCAGTGGAAGCTCCTGCCCCCGCCCCACCCTGCCAGGATGAGCGTGGAAGCGTTTGGCGCAGGCCCAGGACCTCGTGGTCTGAAGCTGCTTCTCCCGTGCGGGGGCAGGTCGTGCACGGCCCGTCCAGGTGGTTTTGAGGGGGCTGTGGGGGATCGAGAACTCCTCAGAAACTGTGGGTTTGTCTCCTTGCCAGAGGTGGGACGGCAGGTGCTGGCAACCTCCCGTCCTGGCACAAGCCAGCACGGGTCTTGCTTCTTCATCGTCCTCTTACGCGGCGTCTGGCACTGACTGGGGTGACAGGCCCCCGTGCGTGGGCAGTGGAGCGTCTGAGACGTGGCTGCGCACTCCCTGCCGGTGCTCACGGGGCTCTCCCCTCCCAGCAGGTTACGGACAGGACTTGAGTGGCTTCGGACAGGGTTTCTCGGACCCCAGCCAGCAGCCCCCCTCCTACGGAGGACCCTCGGTGCCGGGGTCAGGGGGCCCCCCTGCCAGCGGAAGTGGCTTTGGCCGAGGTCAGAACCACAACGTGCAGGGATTCCACCCTTACCGACGCTAGCTGGCCCGCTGCGCAGCCGAGACCGACCGACGGCTCCAGGCTTGTGACCTCGTGACAATCACACCTGACAGGGGCGGGCGGGGTGGGCAGCAGGCTTCTGGAGGCCAGGCGCTGTGGGTGTTTGGACTGAAGTTTTTAACTCTATTTCTTTCTCTAACCCATCAGCACAATAAAAAAAAAGTCACTGGTTCAAACAACAGGGTTTTAAAAAATTGTCTTCAGCTTTAATTCAAAACTTCAGGTTTCTTTTTTTTCTTTTTTTTTTTTTTGAAATTATTTTCCTGAGCCTTTTGTGTTACCATATATTGTAAACTTTTATGTTGAAAGAAAAAAATATACATTTACAAATTGTGAGATTTTTAAGAGAACTTTTCTACGCTGTACCTGGCTTATTTTTTAATTTAAAGCAGGGTTTCCGTCAGCGCTGACGGACACGAGGCTGTTCGTCTCACTCTCTTGCTCTGGCTTCGGGGCTTGGGACTCGTTGGTCCAGAGACTCTGGGAGCTTCAAGAAGTCTACTGAGTGTTTTGTTTTTGTTTATTCCTTGCTTTTGTCGACCAACTGACTGGCAGTGTCTGCAGGCGCCCAGGGTTGGCTCGGGCTGCCCAGCCACATACCCAGCCCAGCCCAGTCTGGACCCCGGTGGCGTGAGGCCTTGTCAGATGGAAGCTGACCTCCTTGGGCGCGTGGTCTCAGTGTGTTTGCCGCTGACCAGTCTGACCCTGGTTTGAATAAAGAGAAGTGCATTTGGATTAGAAACTCACGTGTGTCTGTTCTTTCCCAGCCTGGATTCCAGGCTGAGCTCCGGAACTCAGGGTGCTGGGAGCCCTGGAGCTGTCCTGGGAGTAGCTGTTGGGTGGGAGGGACTGGGGGCAGGGAGGCCAGGTGCCCCCGCTGGAACAGGCTGAGGTTGAGTGTGGGCCAGGCCTGGGCCTCCCACATGTCCACGGTAATCAT